AAAGCACTTCAATTGCTTTGGCCACTGCTTCAAACTAAAAATATCATCCGCATTTTAGCTAAATTACTAACAACTTCAGATCTCATCCACGACATCTTCCCCCACGGTTTCTTCCCCGACGACTAACAGGTAAGTATGAATTATACATATTACTAACTAATTTAAATATTAGAAACTCACCATTCTTTATCCATGTTTTCTTTAGAATTTTAGCCTTCATCCAACGATCATCTGAAAAATTCACAAAAGAAAAATAAAAAATAGCAAACTTCTTCAAAACTGTTTAAAACCCTATTAAATTTTTGCACCAACAATTAAATAAATATAATACCAATGCAGTAATTTAATTTATAAATTTTTCCCCCACAAGCAGTAAATCTAATAATGATGAAAATTTGTAACTCAATTTTCCCCAACAACTAGCAGTAAAATTGAAATTCTATGTAGTAAATTAATAAGAAGCAAATGCAGTACTAACCTTTTGATATTTCCATTAACTCGCACAAGAATTCTATCCAAACTCGCACAGCTCGCCCACGAAGAATTGTTTAAATAATGAATTTCAGTTTCAAGCTTTCACAACTCAACAACTCTAACATACGATAACAAGTTTCAAACTTTCCTTTAACCCGGTTGGAAAGGAATTATATACTAAACAAAACTAACCAATGCAGCTTACTAAACACCACAACACATAGCATAACAGCATGACTAAGAAAAAGGAAACCAACGGTACCCAAACCGGATTAACCCAGTTTAAAACTGGATAATTTATTCTTTTGAAGACTATTATAAAGTCTAAGAAAGAAATAATAAAACACAAAAAAGTCGAAAGACAAACCCATACCACAAACAATTTGATTTTTGAAAAAAGGACACAACCAACAAAACATAAGAAAAACCACAACAAACCCAACATAAAACGTTGTCACATAACAGGACCTCTCACAAAAACCGCATGCAATCATACTCCCACTCCTGGCCTAACCCACCAGGAAGGACGTCCTGAGCATGCTCTATAGCCGGCCTTACCCACCGTGCTACATCCACGCTTTGTGACCACACTCCTATTTTTAATAAGAGCTACTCAAGGGTGAGTAACTCTTCAAAATAACTGAACTAAAACAAAAAGCTTTTGTGAAAACAACTAACTAAAATCATAATTAAAAAATATTAAACTAATAAAAGTTTTATAAAATGTAAATTACATTATGCAATACATAGATCAGAATACAACACCAAGGACGAACATCCAAAGACAAAACGACCTCACTACACTCGAGAAAGAATGGCCAACTACAATCAATATGCAGCTCACAATCACAACTCAAAGGATTTAGAGTACGACTTGACTTCGCAGAAAAGGACTTCATTGAACTAGACCAATGACCACCTCGATGTTCAAGTATACGTACAGATCCGAGTAACCAGGCATCCCCTCCACGCACAATCTCCACGCCATTCCTAGACAAGATCAAAACACAAAGAAGTTCTCATCAATGAAACAGAAAAACCTGACATAGCCAACCATTCTGAAATCAGATTTGAGTTTGTTGCGAAAACCCAGTCGTTGTCTTGAGAAGACACAACGATTGAATCTGGGACTTCTCTAATAAGAAGACCCAGAAGAAATAAGATGTTCGCCAAATACCAACGTCCATCATCCATCCTTCGAATTGCAGAAAAACTATTCTAAAAAACTCTGTAAAACCCGGATCTAACACTCACATCGATATAGAACGAAATAAGGACATGCTATATCGACTCACTACACCACTAACATCTAGACAATTTACCTACATTGGATATAAAAAATCACTAAAAACACACACTGCACCCCGAGCTAATGAATATACACTAGAATATTACGATCATAACATCATCAGAGCTAACCAAGATCAATTCTTAGACGACGATCGCTTCGCTAACCCACAAATCACCGAGAAATTTTTCATTAAAACACCATATGTATTTACACTAAATATCTTCGATCGCAAGTTTGACCACATTATTTCAGAAGCACTAACAGACACACAAGCCTACGAAAGTTTTAAAGAACGCTTCCAAATATTTTCACTAACCTTTCATTTCCTTGCACCACATGAAAGAGATTTGCACTGCTCACACGATATTATGTTGCGCACTAAACAAACACACACATATACTTATTATCGTTTCATCCAAAATCACTTTGACCTACACACTCCCTCCAGACAACCACACCATCGTTTTCAATTCATCAATTCCAAATACACCTCACCATTCTTTCTTAACTTCACATATTGTATTAAAGATACTAACCTTCATGGTATTCTTCGAAATTATGATCCCATAACCCAAATGTACATTTTTTGTCCAATCACCAAGACCTTCAACGCAGAAGAATCCCGACCCTTCCTTATCCCACACGAGTTTGTACAACCTATAGAAATCCCCATTTTAGAATTCATCCATAACACTAAATTCAATCACAAATTATATAATCTAATCCAAAACACACCCTATGAATTTGCAGTTGGCACTGAAGAACTAACCAACATTAAAGCACTTCAATTGCTTTGGCCACTGCTTCAAACTAAAAATATCATCCGCATTTTAGCTAAATTACTAACAACTTCAGATCTCATCCACGACATCTTCCCCCACGGTTTCTTCCCCGACGACTAACAGGTAAGTTTGAATTATACATATTACTAACTAATTTAAATATTAGAAACTCACCATTCTTTATCCATGTTTTCTTTAGAATTTTAGCCTTCATCCAACGATCATCTGAAAAATTCACAAAAGAAAAATAAAAAATAGCAAACTTCTTCAAAACTGTTTAAAACCCTATTAAATTTTTGCACCAACAATTAAATAAATATAATACCAATGCAGTAATTTAATTTATAAATTTTTCCCCCACAAGCAGTAAATCTAATAATGATGAAAATTTGTAACTTAATTTTCCCCAACAACTAGCAGTAAAATTGAAATTCTATGTAGTAAATTAATAAGAAGCAAATGCAGTACTAACCTTTTGATATTTCCATTCACTCGCACAAGAATTCTATCCAAACTCGCACAGCTCGCCCACGAAGAATTGTTTAAATAATGAATTTCAGTTTCAAGCTTTCACAACTCAACAACTCTAACATACGATAACAAGTTTCAAACTTTCCTTTAACCCGGTTGGAAAGGAATTATATACTAAACAAAACTAACCAATGCAGCTTACTAAACACCACAACACATAGCATAACAGCATGACTAAGAAAAAGGAAACCAACGGTACCCAAACCGGATTAACCCAGTTTAAAACTGGATAATTTATTCTTTTGAAGACTATTATAAAGTCTAAGAAAGAAATAATAAAACACAAAAAAGTCGAAAGACAAACCCATACCACAAACAATTTGATTTTTGAAAAAAGGACACAACCAACAAAACATAAGAAAAACCACAACAAACCCAACATAAAACGTTGTCACATGACAGGACCTCTCACAAAAACCGCATGCAATCATACTCCCACTCCTGGCCTAACCCACCAGGAAGGACGTCCTGAGCATGCTCTATAGCCGGCCTAACCCACCGTGCTACATCCACGCTTTGTGACCACACTCCTATTTTTAATAAGAGCTACTCAAGGGTGAGTAACTCTTCAAAATAACTGAACTAAAACAAAAAGCTTTTGTGAAAACAACTAACTAAAATCATAATTAAAAAATATTAAACTAATAAAAGTTTTATAAAATGTAAATTACATTATGCAATACATAGATCAGAATACAACACCAAGGACGAACATCCAAAGACAAAACGACCTCACTACACTCGAGAAAGAATGGCCAACTACAATCAATATGCCGCTCACAATCACAACTCAAAGGATTTAGAGTACGACTTGACTTCGCAGAAAAGGACTTCATTGAACTAGACCAATGACCACCTCGATGTTCAAGTATACGTACAGATCCGAGTAACCAGGCATCCCCTCCACGCACAATCTCCACGCCATTCCTAGACAAGATCAAAACACAAAGAAGTTCTCATCAATGAAACAGAAAAACCTGACATAGCCAACCATTCTGAAATCAGATTTGAGTTTGTTGCGAAAACCCAGTCGTTGTCTTGAGAAGACACAACGATTGAATCTGGGACTTCTCTAATAAGAAGACCCAGAAGAAATAAGATGTTCGCCAAATACCAACGTCCATCATCCATCCTTCGAATTGCAGAAAAACTATTCTAAAAAACTCTGTAAAACCCGGATGGGTGGAACCTGATCTAAACTACATTTTATGATTGGATAAATTAGATATTTTACCAATGTAAAGTATTTAATATTAACCAATCATGATCCATCTGACTAACAATCCACTTATTTGTAAGTGCTGAAATTACTTGTAATTTCAGCACCAGAGAGATTTGAATTTAACTTAGAAATTAGTTGAACTCTCCCGAGTACTTCAGCAGCCGCAATAAACCAGTATACCCTAGATCTATTGAGCCTAGCAGAGACTAGTTAAACAACCTGAGACTAGATAGTATAAGAGTAAGATTAGGATCGGTATTAGACTAAGAAGTTGCACGAATCTATCCGGCCGAAAATAAGATAGCGTGACGAGCAGACGGTGTACCCTATCCGAAATTACTCTATGAGTTATACACTTCGGTCCTAACTCAATCGGCACAGTATCAAAAGTTATTACATTCTCAGTAAGTGTTGTCTTCATTTAGAATTTGTATTTGTGAATCAACTGTTGACGCCATGAATGGGTTTTGCATGGGTTGGGAGGAAGTGGGTTGAATTTTGAAACCCTCAATTTTGCAAGTCTTATGTGTTATCTACATATCAAAAACTCTCGGCTTGCAAAAGAAATCTAACTTAATGATTAAGCTAGATTTCTTTTGCAAGCCGTGAGTTTTTGATGTGTAGATAACACAGGAGTTAAAGATCTGTACAATTTCAGTGCAAATTTGTTTTAGCTCGGGTTTACTGGTTTCAAATACCATTAGAATCCGTCCAGTTCAATTTGTTATTTCTCGAACACCTCAAAACTTAGGCGTTGTAACTGTGGTTTTCAGTTTAGTTGTACAGATACTTGGGGCATATTGAATGTATTATTAGTCACTGGAAAAAAATAGGAAAAAAGTAGAAGTTATTCAAAATAAAGAAGGACGTCACTGACAGTTATTATTCAGAGTTCATGAGTCGTGTGTGCGTCATCGGAGCTGGTGCAGCTGGTCTTTCAGTACTCCGGACAATCCCGTCCCAATTGATCCACAACGGAATCAAAGTCACGTGCTTCGAAGCTTCAAACACAGTTGGAGGCGAATGGAACCAATATCGACCGAAAGCGACTCCTAAGAATAATGTCTATTCGAATATCAACGAAGAAGTTTTGCCTGAGTCGAGTATGTATAAGAATTTGATCACGAATCTGCCCACGTGTTTCATGCAGTATCCAGACTATGATTGGGACAATAACAGGTTTTAACATTACCTCTCATTCAGTGATGTCCATTTAATAAAATAAAAATTAAAAATTTGAAAGCAATACTAAGAAATTGAAGCAATATTTTCTGGCTAGTCTATTTTCATCAAATTTTTTCTAATTTTGTCGTGAAAATTCAGATTGTTTGCTTTTTTCCGCGGAACTCTGAAATGTTAAAATAGTTGACTGATGTAAAATGTGTACTTTGGCGTCGGATTGAATCCCGCTCGGGCAATTTCATTATTTTTTCAATTTGAATTGCTCAATTTAAATTAAAATTTTTCATTTAAATTGAGCGGACTCATAATTTACTTAAATATATTGAAATTTAAATGAAAATTTAAATTTATTTAAGTTGTTTATTTAAATGAGTTTACTCATTATATAGAGATACATTGATCAGGATTTTTTATTTGTGTCTAATCAAACAAAAGTCCGATCGAATTTTGGTAGGACTTTCGTTTGTCTGTTTTTTTTTACAAACGGAGTTTGCCCATAATTTTAGCACTTTTTACAATAATTGTAAATTTTGGAAGTTTGTTTGAAATTTATATTGTCTTTGCATTTTTCTTTTCTTTTAATAAAAAGCAACAAGTAGCACTTTATTTAAAGTTTTGGTTGAAATTTTGTTTCTTTCTGGTTGCGATATTTCGAAAAAAATTGTATTTGTGACAGACTACTACGATAAACTACGAAGTAAAGTTGTTCTAATTTCCTCGAAAATGTTCCATTCACCTGGTTTTATTTAGTCAAGTGACCTTTTATGAGTCATTGCGGTTAGAGAATTGCTAGATTGTTCTTTTTTGTAAAATGAGAAATATGTCGCTGCTTTTACGGTAAAAATTTTACGCTTCAATTGTAAATTCTGATTTCTGGCACATGGTTGTATCGCAAATGGTGTGAATGTCCGCCTCGCCTCTGTGTAAAGCAATAACTTCAGTCACTTATCAAAAAAAGTTACTTTGTTTCCAGTCGTCAAGCATGTTTTAAAATTCGTTTACGATAAACTTCCTTTTAAAACCTGAATTTCTGCAAATTGTGCTCTAAATGAAAAAGAAGAGTTAGGACATCTTTGATCTGATTAGGTCGTCGTCTTTTGTCCACCACTCAGATGTGGCTCACTATTTGGACAGCTACTCAACTCACTTTGAACTTGATAGATTCATCCACTTCAACACAAGAGTGACTAATTTGAGACGATCGCCTGCAGCGAGTAAGCAGATTACGATGTAAGATCATTCAAAAACATAGATACTATTTTTGAAATAAACGCACTCCTTTGAAATTTGTAGATATGTTCTCATTAAGTGGCTTAAATAGAGTTGTATCTGTTATGTGCGAATATTATTGTTTTTTTAATGTACAGTTTTTTCTAATGTAAAAATGGCACTGTATTTTTCGTATTTTTTTATCAAAGTTCATTCTGTTAAACTTTTAGTTTTTTTTCTGATGTCATTTGCATGTTTATGGTGTTTGTGTAAATCGTTTGGTTTTTTTCAGCAGCAACAGTGGAATTGACTAAATGGCTAGTTACAGCTTCTACCGAAGGATCCAATGAATCGAAGGAACAGGAGTTTGACTACGTTTTCATATGCACTGGACACTTCAAATTCCCAAGGTATATTGAGATACCAGGACTGGAAAAGTTCAAAGGTCAAGTTATCCACAGCAAGTTCTACGATGACCCGAAAGACTTCGAAGCAAAAACAGTTCTTATTATCGGAAACGGAATGTCAGGAATTGACATTTGCACTGAGTTGATCCCGAAAGCATCACATGTTTATGTTTCTGGGGCTACGATAAAGGATTGTTTCGGAAAAGAGAAAAACGTTTCAGAAATTGCTTTAGTTCAACAATATGAAGCGCATACACATTCATTTGTTCTAGAAAGTGGACAGGTTTTGGACGCCAAAATTGACAGTGTTATTTTTTGTACCGGTTATACGTACGATCTTCCATTTGTAGACAAAGAGTCTTGTGAACTTAAAATAGAAGATGGATTTATAAGTCCAATGTTTGAATTTGCAGTACATGCTAAGTACCCTAGTTTGTTTTTAATTGGTCTGAACCAACGCGTGGTTCCGTTTCCATTTTTCTACTACCAGAGCTCTTTTTGTTGGTCCTTTATTGAAAATGACTATGCAAACTTGCCCTCGAATGTGGAGGAACTTGCGAAAACTGAAGAACGTGACAGATTGAAGACTAAGAAGAAAAGGCACTTTTTCTGGCTGGGCGCGGAAGAAGGGGCCAACTTCAGCAGATACTATGCGGAGGTCAGCTGTAAAATCGATGGGTTTAGATCAATTTCGGAAGCCATAGCAAAAGTAGCTGAATTGAGATTCAAATATCCATGTGAATACAAAAAGTGGACAGTTCAACTAGAGGAAGATGGTTCAGTTTTGATATCAGAGACAAAACCAGGGTCATAATTTTGCAATTTTTATTAAATTGTAAAAGTTAATTCTACCTAGAGAATGATATTTTGTTACTGAATATTTCTATAATCGAAATCCATCGAGTAATGTATTTTTGACTATTGTCTGTTATATCACTGTATCCTGATCTGATGATGTTCAGCCCAAAATTCAATTCGATTCAAGCTAAATTATTTTGTTATTTAAATTGCAGGCGTACTCTCTGGTGCCTTGTTATAACTCAGCTTTCAAAATATTTTCATGTTTTACGTCTACATTGGCTTGCAGTTTTTTGAGGCATATAATTTCGGGCATCTTATCTATGTTACCAAAAGTCTATCAAAATATAAGGAGTTGTCAAATTAGACTCTCATGCTAAAAACACCTCCCCAAAAATTAAGGACCACATAGTACGAGGTTGTTTGAAAAAAAAATACATAACGTTTATTTCCTCATCAGATATAAGACTTTTTCCCGTAAATAACTTTTCTCCTGGCTCCGTGACTCAGTTATCGATTATACTTTTCTGTTACAACATATATATTTTAGCATTGTTATTTTCAGGCCCAAGTAAAATTTGCTTTTTATGCTTGTTAAATTTTTTACCTACTCGATTTGCTTATGTCTTTTTCCGCCCAATAGGTTACGACTAAATTAAATCGTCTTAGTAGCCTATTTTGCGTCGATAGTTCAGCAAAAAAGTTATGCGAGTGTGTGTTCTGAGGGAAAGAGTGAATTAGTTTGTTCAAGTCACACATTCCATAGGTTTTCGCTTCCCTGATATCACGCTTACCTTCTTATTTTCGATAACTTCTATCTTCTCGGCATTTTTCCTTCGATAACATCTTCACCACTTGATGCTTATCTTTCGAACATCGGAATATCGAACTCGGGTGCGTAGCTGCGTATACAAATTTTCGCCGCTTGTTGAAAAAAAAACACTCCGCTTTTCTAATTTTGTCTTCCGCTGTTTCGACAGCAATTCTGAAATTTTCGATACTTCTGACTCCTTTTTCATGGCTGAGAGCTTCTCCGTAATCCTTCAGGTCACGTTGTTTTTCTTCATACTTCTCCAATTGGTGTTTAATCACCTCGTCCTGTTTTTTTTTCTTAAATGAAAAACACGACTATGTCTTTTCCTTGATTGATTTTGACTTATACTGGCACCATTTAGTCCAACTTGCACTCTTAAGTAATCGAAGCAATCTGATTTTTTTTGGATCTTTGTTTCAAGGGGGTTTTATGGAAATTCGATGCTGCTAACTTCAAAAACTTGACATTTTTTCTAAACAATACTATGTATTAGCTTTTTTAAAAAATTCTCATCCTACTGCTCCCTACGTGCACAATCACCGTTATATCTTGCTCCTTACATCGCCAAACACCAAAATCCACCCCGCTTGTCCCAATGAAACAATCCCTCAAAGTTTCCAATGGCAGATGTTGAGCGTTTTTCACTTACCAAGCTTTTTTACGCCTTTTTGGCAGAAAGGAAAGAGCTCATATTTGTTAGGTTAATTCAACCATTTGCAATTGAAAGTTTTTTTTGGTTCAATTGCTGGCTTGCTTCTTCGAGAAAATTTTTTTCCGATTATAAAAGCTATAGAATCGTTTTTAGAAGAATATGTTTGATAACTGTCAGAAGATCACTCGACCTGACCCTACTGACCGAAAGGATCTGCATCATTTATACATAATGTTCGTTGTATAGAATCGCTGGAAATGCATCTCGGTTATTGTTTCTCAAGCGACTCGATCTAAAAATTTATAGTAGTTCAGTGCAAACATTGTTACTTCGGAATCAATAGGCTAGTTTTGTTACTTTAGAAACATTCATTCAACTAACACATTCCATAGGTTCGGATGTCAATCGGAATATCGAGTTCTACTAAGGTTTTAGAGTCTCCGTAAATATATTTTCGGCGTTTAGTGGGAAGAATACTCCGTTTTTGTCTTTTGCTTTTTGACAGCAATTCAGAAAGCTCGTTGTTCAGGGTTAAAAGTTTCTTCCAATTCTTAGGGTGTTGTTTTTCATACTTCTCTAAATGGCATTTAATCACCTTGTCCTGTTTTTTTTTGTTAAATAAAAACAAGCATATGTTTCCCCCTGATTGAGTTTGACTTATTTTAGCACTATTTGGTACAACTTGCACTCTTAAATGATCGAAGCAATCTGATTTTTTTTGGATCTTTGTTTCAAGGGGGTTTTATGGAAATTCGATGCTGCTAACTTCAAAAACTTGACATTTTTTCTAAACAATACTATGTATTAGCTTTTTTAAAAAATTCTCATCCTACTGCTCCCTACGTGCACAATCACCGTTATATCTTGCTCCTTACATCGCCAAACACCAAAATCCACCCCGCTTGTCCCAATGAAACAATCCCTCAAAGTTTCCAATGGCAGATGTTGAACGTTTTTCACTTACCAAGCTTTTTTACGCCTTTTTGGCAGAAAGGAAAGAGCTCATATTTGTTAGGTTAATTCAACCATTTGCAATTGAAAGTTTTTTTGGTTCAATTGCTGGCTTGCTTCTTCGAGAAAATTTTTTTCCGATTATAAAAGCTATAGAATCGTTTTTAGAAGAATATGTTTGATAACTGTCAGAAGATCACTCGACCTGACCCTACTGACCGAAAGGATCTGCATCATTTATACATAATGTTCGTTGTATAGAATCGCTGGAAATGCATCTCGGTTATTGTTTCTCAAGCGACTCGATCTAGAAATTTATAGTAGTTCAGTGCAAACATTGTTACTTCGGAATCAATAGGCTAGTTTTGTTACTTTAGAAACATTCATTCAACTAACACATTCCATAGGTTCGGATGTCAATCGGAATATCGAGTTCTACTAAGGTTTTAGAGTCTCCGTAAATATATTTTCGGCGTTTAGTGGGAAGAATACTCCGTTTTTGTCTTTTGCTTTTTGACAGCAATTCAGAAAGCTCGTTGTTCAGGGTTAAAAGTTTCTTCCAATTCTTAGGGTGTTGTTTTTCATACTTCTCTAAATGGCATTTAATCACCTTGTCCTGTTTTTTTTTGTTAAATAAAAACAAGCATATGTTTCCCCCTGATTGAGTTTGACTTATTTTAGCACTATTTGGTACAACTTGCACTCTTAAATGATCGAAGCACTCTGAAATGTTTTCTAAGCTTATTTCAAACGGGATTTTATGGAAAATCGATGCTGCTAACTTCAAAAAGTGGCATTTTTTTGTCTCTCGAAAGTGTTTTATGAACAGTTCCAAGTACTAGCTTTAAAAAAAACTTCGATTCTTCCGCTTGCTCTGTTTACAATCACCGTTTCATCTTGCTCTGTGCATATGTATTCATCTCCACTCTATTCAAGCTATACTAATAAAAAATTGTGATTAAATTCCAACATATCAAGAAACATTCAAAACAAGATACAAAATTCATTTTAGTCGCATTTAAAGAAATGATCGCTGGCTTGCCTATTCACTCCACTTGTCTCAATTAAACAATATCTCAAAGTTTCCAATGGCAGATATTGAGCGTTTTTCACTTAATAAGCTTTAATTTTGCGCCATTTTGGTAGAAACGAAAGAAGCCAACTGCAAAGGCAAGTAACCCCCAAGGTCGCATTTGCGCAGAATCCGTTTCAGAGGATGCGCGACCAACATTGTGATCGTACAGCCGCTGTCGAAGGTCAGAACATTGATCGACAAAAAAATTATTCAGTTGTTTGGTGGTGACAAGAAGCAACACAAAACCAGACGGCAGCTGCACTATCCTTGGCCTATAATCACATAGAGTCGGGCTCGGTAATGGTACAACGCTGTGTTCTCTATTGACTACGGATGACATTATGCTCTCTATATACTGAGCAAATGGAGGCTTCATGGTTAAAAAATGCTGAATAGCCAGTATTGTTGCATCTGTGTCGCCCAGGAACGTTGTCTGACAGTCGGTGAACGCGACTAAACAGCACGTATAGTTGACTTCCTTCCCACAAGCAGTATTCGGAATCGACAAGAGATATCCTGGTTAGAAGCTTCGGTAGTTCACCCCCCATGCATTTGTGCACTGTCATGACTATATAGTTGCGAACAGGGAATTGAGTTCGATGGCATGTGATCTCCATAAAATGGTGGTTGAAACTAATTTGTTTGGACAATGTAAGCCATCGCCAATCAAAGGCAATGAATTTGTCTGAGCTTTTGCAATGGTATGGAACGTCCACTGTCCCTGGTGGTGCAAGCAGTATGTCGATGGACGAGTCACTGTTGGTCAACCAATAAACAGCAACTTGCCCTTGGCTGTAACCATCAGTTGAGCTGTTACTCGCCATTCGGAGCAGCGCTTGCGAATATAAAAACAAGGTACGGGGCTTTTTTGCACTGCTTGTCGAGATATTTTGTAATGTTCGAACCAGCCAGCTGCCAAGATCCCGCATTGTTTTGCCTAATCTCATCAAATGAGTGGACGTCTTCCACTAATATTGTTGCTTCTGAGTTCATTGACTTCTCTTTGCACTGTCCTTCGCTCGGCGGAACGTTTCCTAAACACTCTTACAACTGCCCCCGGCACTTGATTTTCATTATCATAAAATGGCAGTTTGACTTAATCGTTTCTTTGATGATTTCCATGTTCACATCAGAAATATCTGGTTTTGTTATAAGAGACAAAAATTCTCTGTCGTCATTGCTATACATTCTTATACACTGTTTGAGATGGAAAAGGTGAATGCCTGTTAACATGCGAGAACTGGTCCAGAGAGATTCTCCACTGGGAGGAGGACACTGATTTGAGTCGCCATTTGCCACTACAATAACGCCAACGAAAGGGTTATTGTTCGATTTCACGTGCTGAAGGATGGCGTCCTTAGTTGCTACGTAACACGCTGAAATTAAGCCAATTTCATCAAAATTGATGAAGTCCAACTGCTGAAGGAATATAAGTTTTGTCGGGTTCTTATGAAGTTCGTCCAAACTGTTAGCTACCATGGCGGGAACACGTGTAGATTTGGAAACCGGCATACAAAAAACGTCGTGTATATGCTGACCCCCTAGAAGCTGAGCGCGTTCATTAGCCAGTGTGGTAACGATAATGTTCAGATTCTGTGACGCGGCGTAGTACATGGCGTGTTTAGCAACAGTAGTTTTGCCCGAACCTGGGAAACCAGAGTAAACGCGGGGTTTGTAACAGAGTTGTTCGTTGTCACAATATGATTGAATGACATGGCAAACATCTCGGACTGCTTGCTTTTGCTCATC